CTCAAGTTACGGAGCCTGCTCTCAAGGGAGGAGGGGAAGAAAGTAGATGGGAGAAAGAACTGGCTGGGTAGGAGGGAAGGGAGCTGGATCCAACATGGATGTAAACTACATGAGGGTTTCTGAGGACCCACCAGTAGACTTAGCTCATCTGAGCTGGGCAGACAGGAGCTTACTGTCTGGGTCTGTCCTGTCCGCCCGTGAGATGGCTGGGCCCTCTAAAATCTTTCCAGCTTAGGTGCTTGGGTGACTTAATCATGAAAGCTTGAGGAAGAGAATACCAGAGTAAAGATGACGCTTTAAGTACAAACACATGGGGCACCACATACCTCCTGCTGTTACCGTCTGAGCAGCCGTGGGCACTGACCTGCCGACCCTCCTCCCTGCGTCCTCCCTGCGTCCTCCCTGCGTCCTCCCTGCCTCCTCCAATTCATTTTTCTCAATGGAGATCAGATTCTACAGAATGCTTTCTGAGGGCTGTGCTGTGTGGCTCAGCGGTACAGCATGGGGTAGCGTGGGTTTCATTCCTGTACCCATGCACGCACTCACACACCTGACCATGCTGTCTCTGCCTGTCAATCTTCAGTGACTTCTCTGTGCAGTTCAAGTCCATGGTCTTCTGTGGCCTTAGCTTGCTGCTCTCACCTTCTGGCAGCTTCCCTCGCCAGGCCTTACTATTGTCATGCTGAGCTGATGGCTGGGGAGCTGCAGCTGGGTCTCCCAATCCAGACCTTACATTGTTTTCAAATGCCAATAAGTCGTGGCCCACGGGTTGAGAACCCCTGCTTTACCATCTGCTGCAATCCATCAGTCTTTGGTGGATGCACACTGAGGAGCCAAGGCGTGTTGTCGGCCTCTAGCCAGCCAGTCAGAGACGCACAAGGTTTCTTGGTTGTGTGTGAGTTTGCCTCCAACATGGACGTTCTTTACACTGCTGCCCTTTGAGTCCACTTACTATTATTTTTGTTAAAGCTTTGTCCTAGGTAGTTACTTATTTTTTAGTTCATCAGCTGTGTTATGTTCACTTGACTATGGAAACGTCATCTTGACTATCTTTTCTCCTCAGCAGACTTCCCACTAGTGAAGTAGACGGACAGGCAGTTCTTGTGTCGATGTGATACTGTTAATTTTGATACTATTAATTTCTTATTTTCCCTTTTTTAACTTTAAATTTCTCTTTTTCTAGCAACTAACTTCTTAAACAAAATAAAACATTGTGTGTGCACATCCATGTGTATGTGCTTATGTGCGTGTGTGTTGTAGAGAGGCTGCTAGTTAATTCCCAGCTGCTCAGCCCCAAAATGATCACACAGAAGCTGTATTATTTAAGTCACTGCTTGGCCCATTAGCTCTAGCGCCTTATTGTCTAACTCCTGCATATTAATTTTCCCATCTTCAATAATCTGTGCATCGCCCCGTGGCTGTGGCCTACCCGCTGAAGTTCTGGCATCTGTCTCTGACTCCACCCTCTTTCTCCCAGCATTCAGCCTAACTTTTCTGCCTAACTTAAGTTCTACTTGCTATAGACCAAGTCAGTTTCTTTAACCAATAAAAGCAACACATAGACAGAAGGCCCTCCCACACCACATGTGTGTGCGTGGAGGCCAGAGAACTGCCACACCTTGCTTTATTCATGGGTGCTGGGATTGAACTCAGGCCCTCATGCTTTTAAGGCAAGTCCTCTACTCCCTGTGCCACCACCTTAGCCCTACTCACGCCCTTTTCTATCTTTAAACCATCACCCCTTCTTCTTACCGCAACATCTTAGCCCACTCAGAGTCCTGGATTTGACTCCGAGCAGTCCTCTGAACCCTCAAAGCCAACAAACAAAGACACTTAAAGAAAAATTACTTAAACCATGTGCTCTGGTCAAAACATTACATTTCTTCCTTCCTTCCTTCCTTCCTCCCTCCCTCCCTCCCTCCCTCCCTCCCTTCCTCCCTTTTTTCTCCCCTCCCTTCCTTTTCTTCCCTTCCCTCTCTCCCTCTGTCCTTCCTCTCTTTCTTTTTTTTTTTTCTCTTCAGTTGACAATTGAACCCAGGGCCTCACACATGGTAGGCACACGTGCTGAAGGCTGGTCTACATTGTGACAGGTTACATCAAGGCTCCATTCCAGAGGTTTTCAAGTGAACTGTGTTCTCAGAGGAAGCTGTTCTCAGTTCTTTCAGATGGACAGAGGGGTGAGCATTAGTTTGGGTCTCCCAGGTTTCTAGAATTCTTTCTCAGCTGAGTAGCATTTCAACCCTCACAGTCGGGAGGACAGTGAGATGTTAGGAAGTGTCCATCGGTATAAACAGGGGAAATTGTGCCCCTAACTGCTTCTGGACTGAATATTAGTGAGTATACAGGATTCAAAGAACAAAAGAAATACATTCCAATGATGTTTGCCGCTTTGCCACTTGTATATTGTGTCCAGCCTTATAAGGCCAAAGCCGAGCACTTAGTATGTGTGTGTGGGGTGGAGCTGGGGTAAGGGGAAAGAAGGCCAGAGAAGCAAACTTGGAGGCCAGGTGAGCTCCGATGTTTTCTCAGCTGGGTGTCTGGAGGGCAGAGAACGGTTGGTCAGGACATCCCTGGTGCTGGCCCGAGGGGAGTTTGCCCCCAGTTGCTCTGTTGTACCTCTGTTAGTCTTGTTCCCACTGCTCAAAAGCACACATGGGTCTCTACATCTCCAGAGCTGGTCAAGAGTGGCTCCTCCTCCCTCGGTGACTCACAGGTGGCCCAGAGCCTTGATAGATACCCCAAGGAGGGGGTCTCAGCATCCTCTTCCCTTCCCTCAGGCTGCTCTGCACTACATCAGAGTCGTTACCTGGATGGGGTAGCGGAGAAGAGGCTCAGGGCTAGACACAGATAGTTCCACTGGGTTTTCTGAAACCACGCTTCTCAATTGCTACAAAAATAAAATCTCTGAAGACACGGTTAATCTTAGCTCCAAGCTTCTAACAGCCCGACACAGTTGAATTTGTCTCCTTCAAAATTCCTTCACAGGCCACCATCCCTTGGTGCCTCAGGGGTGGGGTAGTGGGTGGTTACCAACAGTCACCTGCTCAGATTCCTTAGACAACATGGCGTGGCGTTTCATAGAACCTGGGGGTGACTGCTGTACTTTTACTGTTTAGGGAGTACTAGTGAGAAAAAGCTACGCATGCTCAATGTAGACATAAGCGCCCCCAAATCTCCGTCTGAAGTTGTTTGGAACCGTGGACGTAGAATTGGTGAGGAAAAGTTGCGCATGCTCAAAGTTGCGCGCCCCCAAATCTTCTCTGTCTGAAGTTGTTTGGAACCATGGACGTAGAATTGGCGAGGAAAAGTTGCGCATGCTCAGTGTAGACATAAGCGCCCCCAAATCTTCTCTGTCTGAAGTTTAGAACCGTGGACTGTGGATGTAGAGCCCGCAGTACTGAGTGCTGACTGTTAGGACTATGCTAACACTGACTTTATACCCCGGGATGTAGCTCACAGCTACTCTCTTGAAGAAGAAAAGTTGGGGTTATCTCGAGGCCCTGCTTTTTGTTCGCTCCTCCTTCATGCTGAGGACGAAGCGGGAGGCCTGTATAGAAACGACGTCCGTGACAGGCTCTTGCTTTCCTCCTTCTGCCTGTGCCAAACCTCTCCTTCCCGCAGAGGCCCTGGCAGCAGATGGCTAGCTCTAGAGACCCGGTGAAGTGCTGTTGCTGGCCCCAGGATGTGCCACCTTAGCCACCCTAGTTCAGGGTTACCGCTGGAGACTCCCCGACCTGCAAAGCATCAGGAATAAATACTGTTCAAACACAGCTCAGAGGAAGCAGAAATTGCTTACTGTAGGACCTGCCTGCATCTCTCAGCCTAGTGTTTTTCTTAGTTTTAGGATGAAAGCAAAACAAACAAAACGGGTCTATAAATAAGCGACCTCTGGTTCGCTCTTGTCTGCTCTTTCCCAATCTAGTTCATTCAGGGTATCGGGCTCACACTACGTGGCCGTAGGCACGCGTGGGCATCACTGACCCAGGAAGCTCCGTTGAAAAGCAGGACTTGGACTCTGCTTTCAAACGCAGAGAGGGCAGCTGGATGGTGACACACGGCCCAGATATGAGTCATTTGTTCTGGGCCTTGAGGAAGAATTTGAAAAGTCTGAGCAGAGTCAGGAAAAATGCCAAGTTGATAGGCTAACTAGAGCAGGGCAGGGTGTGAGCTTGACAAAATGTGGGGTCACAGCCGAGGCCGGCCGGCTGCGGGCAGGCCATTGTTTTGAAAAACAACTGCCACATTCGACAGGCTAGGCAGCCAGGGAGGGGCTTGCCAAGGGGCCAGGCTGGGATCAGATGCCCTCCTTAGCTTACAGCGAGGACTCCTTAGGACTCCCTGCATGGCTTATCTATTCCTGGTGGTGTTGCAGGGTGCGGAGGCGGGAGACCGGTAAGACAGTGTCCCGGCCACGTGTGTGGAAGCGTCACTGTTTTGTTCTGGAACGGCTCTGTTTTCAGGAAAGATGCTGGCCGTATTTTGAGAAACAATTTGAAAGTCGGGTTGGGGGAAATCAAGTCCTTCCTGTAGGGAAGGATCCCAGACAACTTTACGGCATGCTGCGAGTGGACCCCGAGTTACCTAAAAGAGTGTTTAGTTTGGGGGAACAGTTGGGAAGGAAAAAAGTGTGGCACACGAGCAGGCAAGGAGCAAGTGTATTTCTCACCGACAGAGCTGCGGTTATGGAGGAGGAGGCCAGGAGTAGGGACGGAGGGAAGGCGGAGGGAGAGGTGACTTTAGTAGACAGTTTGATGAGGGTGGCAGTGCAGTTTCTTGGGGTCACTGTGCCTAAGTGATTGGCATACAAGGCTCAGTGACCTCGGAGCTCAGAGTCCCCCTTCTGTGTGTCTCTGTTCGGCACGCTGGAATGGGTGGACTCGGCCTGTAATTCTGATTAGATCCTTGTAGGAGGGCAAATTAGAAAAAGCAAGCAGGGTGACCACAAGTTGGGGGTACAGGGAGGAAGTGACTAGGGGAGAAGCAGAAGGGAACGACAGAAAGAGGTCGAGGGGAAGGAGGCCCAACACTTTCCTCCTCGGAAGCCAGCAGCCCAGTAGAGGCTTGAGGAGCGGTTGGTGAGAACTGTCCCCAGTCATCTTAGCCCCACCTCCTCCTTCTGGGAGGCAGGGTTTGAGGAGGGTGGACGGTTCCTGAATCCCTTCCAAGCTTGACACTGTGCGCTCACAGATGTACAGGTGAGAAAAAGTGGTGTGGGCTTCACTCTCGTGGATGTGGGGGGTCACGGGGGAGAGGCACTGGTAAGGAGGAGGCAAAGCGTGAGGGTCATACATACTGAGCACACCTGGGGGAGAGGGCGCGAGGCACACCGTGCTGGGGGCCCCAGTGTGAGCGCTTGAGAAAGGACAGAGCTCGGACAGAAAGGACAAATAGGAGCGTTGTGACTGTCTCTGAACAAGCAAAGGGACTGGGTCGAGTTCCCCAGACTGGGTCTTTAAACCTCCAAGGTGGACGGGGGTAGAGGAAGGAGGTGGCGGGGGCAGGGGCATGTCTGTGGACAGCCAGGCAACACTGATGTATAGACATTGCAACTTGGCCTGGTTTGCATTTTTGAAAGAGTGCAGGAGAGAAGATGGTGGGCTGGGGTCCTGGCAGAGAGAAGAGGAGCAGATGGATTCCAGGCCCAGGTGGGAGGCAAGGCTAGCACAGAAAATGGAGGAGAGAACATAAGGATTTGGGGGGTCGGAAAAAGTCACGTGTTCTCTTCCTGTGCTGGGTCCTTGCATTGGCGAAGGGAAGAGCAGTGAGGAGGGGTCTGGAGAGACAGGAAGGAGTCTGTGGGTCCAGCATCTCAAGAGTCTTGGGCTGGGCCTTAGCAGTTGAATGCTTGCCTCCAATAGGCTAGGCCTGGATTCCCGTCCCTGGTGCTGCAGTAATACACTACTTAAAATAAAAACCACTGATCTTCTGAAGAGATAAGGCGAGGAGAAAGGGCTCCGGATGGATTCACACTCGGGAAGGAGGGGAGTGGAGGTTTGAAGTTGCTGTCCACGAAAGAAGGCACAGAGGCTTGTGGGAGAGGGAAATGCTCCATCCCATCCATGCTTCTTTGAAAGTTGGAGCTGTTCAGAAAAACTGCAACCCTCTGCAGAAAGCGACCACTGCAAGTCGTCCTTTGCACATTCCCGACATAAACCAGAGATGCTGGTGGAGTCCTCTCCATTGGCTGCAGCCTGAGTAGGAAAGATCTGTTCTAAGGAAGAGGGGCCAGGGTCTGACTTCTCCCAGGCAGGCAGGGTCCTGTATCTCTCAGCTGGGAGGCACTGTGGGTGGCTGTGCACTTCCCCACGGTCTTCTACATCTGCAGGCCCCTGACCCTCAGTAAACACTTGAGCATTTTGCCACTTTCGGAGCCTCATGTTCTGGGTGTGACCCCTGGGCTTCTCGGATATGCACTGGACTCCACGTGTGCCTTTACTGTCCTTAGTTTACTGTATAGACTAAAACTGTTGACCAGAAAGAAGAGAGTAAGGGAAGGTTCCCTTTGTTCTCCTGGAGTAAGGCTGCAGCCCTTGAAGGAACAGGCTTCTAGCGGACGATTGAAGACAGGGAAAGGCTAGGTGGGTGTCCAAAGGAGCCGAGCTGCTGCTAGAACGTGGGAGTATGAAGCTCATTTGAGCACATATCATGCATGAATTATTTGCATATATGCAAACATTGCCCCTTCTTGCAGTATCTTGCAAAGTCCCTGTTTCAAGTTCATAGTCAGGAGCCGGGGTAGGGGCGGGGCTCAGCAGGGAAGAGCACCGTTGCTCTCCTGGGGTCAAGGTTCAGTTCCCATCACCCACATGGTGGCTGACTCAAACCACCCTTAACTCCAGTTCCAGGGGATCCCACGCCCACTTCTGACCTCAAGGGCATGCAGGCAAAAACACTTATACACATAATAAAATAAACAGATTATCAATACATTAAAAAATGGAATCAATGAGTTTGAATTCTAAGTGTCAAAGAAGACATTGCAAGCATCCATGAGTAGCTCATTTGCTTTACCCTAGGGAACAGCGGTGACCACGGGATGAGGAGGAGAATCCATCTGCTCAGAGGCGTGAGACCTCAGAATTTCAAATGTCCAGGTAAACTCCCATTTCCCATTGGGATGATATAAACCCAGCCGTGGGGGTAACAACCGTCTTTAAAAATTGCAGCTAATCTTTCCGCTTTTGTGAGAAATCTATCAGATCTGCCAGAACCAGGAATTTTTCTTTACTGGTCTAATTCAGAAAAATAGAGTTAAAAAAAATTCACAGTAACAAAGGCCCTCCCTCCCCCCATCCTCCCCTCACCTGGTGAAGCAGAATTACAAAGATCTGTTTGTGCTTAGACACTTTGTTGTTTATTTGACACATCAAATTCTTACTGCAGAACCTTTGACAGAACCTGTGAACTTGGCATGTCTTCTAGTCTTTCCCAAGCCGGCTAGATACAGTTTTGCCACAGACACCCTCAGGGACACATTTGACACTCAGAGGCAGTAATGTGCTGTGTTGCTATATGGAATTGCACAGAGAAAGTGACTGGCTGGAGCAGCGGCCCTGCTCGGCAATTTTGAGATACACGCCGCTGGAATGATTTCCAAATAGACCCTTGGCACACTTTCAGTTTCAGGGAAGAGAAGCCATGGAGGAGGCTGTACTAAGTCATTGTATCAAGTGATGTTCACCCATCACTCAGGCTGACCAGTAAGCAGCTCTTCTGTCCTGTGTCCTGTTGTGGATAATGCATGCTCTCAGAGAAGACTAGTATTAAATGAGCTAGTCCATCTACTTGAAGGGCACAGGCTTGGTACACAAAAGGCACTTGCAAAAATTGTTATGGATTGGGGAGATGTCTGTTGGTAACGGCTTGTCACATAAACGTAGAGACCTGAGTTTGAACTGCCAGACCCATATAAAAAAATCCAGGCATGGTGGTGCAAGCCTGTAATCCCAGCCATGGGGAGGCAAAGAATGGAAGGTTCTAGAGCTTGCTGGTCAGTCCCACTGATTTTGTGAGCCCTAACTTCTGTGAGAGACCCTGTCTCAAAACCTAAGGGGAAGAGTAACCAAGAAAGACACCAGATGTCAACCTCAGCCCTCCACACGTGCACACACACATGTGTACGCATACTCACAAACACATACACACATCTCCCCTCACACACACCCCTGTGAGTATATGGGAGTTATTATTTAGAACAATTACCCTCTTAAGGTCAATTAGAACCGTCACTAATTAGGGTCACTAAGTAACTGTCCCCGACGAAGTACTCGAGATCCTGCCATGTCGCTGGAAGGGCTCGGGTAAAGTCTTCCACTATGTCCCCTAGCTTCGTTATTGCAGACCAGAATCCTCTCTTGAGTCACAAGTCCTGTCACAGCTAGACTGAGACGGGCAAGGCCGCTGTTCCACAGTCACATGAGAAAGCATTTTCACCTCCTCCGGCTTTGAAACCGATTTCTGCATCACACAGCTTTTGGTCGCTCACAACCCCCTTGGAGAACCAGATAAGTTTTGCAGCTGATGTAGCCTCAAGCTTCTAGGCTGGTTTCTCTCCATGCTCCCTGGAGGACTAGGGTTGGAATTTTCCCTGAATGTATATCTTCTGAGGGCCGAGTTGGACCTTAGGCGTTTCCTGTCCCACACAGGGAACCATACGCTTTCTGAATTATCTCATAGGACATTTCTCATCTGTGAATCTTTAGAGCCTGAAGTTCATGTTTTTCCCTTCGCCCTCCTCTGATTCTCAGTCTCCGAGGGACATGTGTGTATTCCATTATAACCCCACAGCTTCCCTTGCTCCATGATAAATATGTGGGTTACAGTGTGTACATTCATCCAGAACACCAAAGGTTACCACTGCGGATTTATTGCTTGTTACATCATTTTACTGTGGGGCTGATTCATGAGATCAGTTTATTTAGTAATTAAATAATATTAAATAAGGCGACTGTACCAGCTCACACCGGCCCTGACTTAGCGCACTCCACTGCCCCCTCCCTCTCGCAATCAGTGTCTGATAAGAGGGATGGGTGCCCACAGGTACAGCCTGGGTCGGGATGTGGCGTGAACCTTTCATTAGGTCCACCATCTTAGCTGCATGGCATCTCGCAGAAGGTTCTCTCCTGAGAGTTCCCAGCCTAACTCAGGGCCAGACCTTCTTTCCTGGGTCACCACTGTCCTCCCTGCTGTTTCCTTGGTTACATCATTGTTTATGTTCAGCGAGTCTCGCCTGTTCGCCCTTGGTGGTGTCACACGGACCATCACACACAGCTTTATACTCAGGTCAGCTTTGCCGCCCATCACATGTGCTTCTTAAGCTCGGGGAGGAACTTTGAAGTTGCCGCCAGGATCAAGGCTAAATTTAGCTTGTTAATTTGTTCTTTCCAACAGTTCGTTCTTGAAGCTTTTGAGTGCATGGGAACCTGTTAGCGCTGTACGGTGAGCACTCTTTTGTTCGCCATAGAATTCTATAATTGACTTTGTTTACACTTTTTTAAATCTCATGTAGCCCAGGCTGGCCTTGAATTTGCTTTGTTACTCAGGCTGACCTTACGTTCCTGATTCTCCTGCCTCGGTTCTCAAGTGCTGGGATTGCAGGTATACCAGCACACTCAGTTGATGTTTTAATGCGGTTCTTTAACACATTGTCGGTGCATCTGTCCACCCAGCAGTCGATTGTGACTTTCTGCCTTTTGCTCTGTAATGATTTTAGAATTACAGAAGACTTGCAGGACGGTGTGGAGAACACCTCCCTGACTACCTCTCATCCGATTTCCCCACGGATAACCTCTAGTTTCCCTCGTGTGACATGCCTCCTTGGTTTTCTTCTGTTGCTCTCTGCCTCAGCTGCTGAGACAGGGTCTCCCGCGGGACCCAGGAGCTCACCAATTAGACTAGGGCCAGCAAGCCCCAGGGGCCTTCATGTCTCCAGTCATCCTTCTCAGGTACACCTCTCAGGAAACACCGTGACAGACACACCCAGACGTGTCGTCTCCTAGGCGATCCCCAGTGCAGTCCCGCTGATGAACCATCACTCTCCTGATGAGTGTGCTCCCTTCCGCAGCCCCGCCTTTCAAAGGTGTCACCACCTCCCACTAGCACCACAGGGAGGGGCCACGCCTTTGAGGGACATTTCACACTCCAGTGGCCTCAGGATATGTATACCTCTGGAGAGTGGCCATTTTCCACACGCACCTTCCCGCACTGTTAATCTACATATGAACACCCAGTTTTAGAACACCCAGTTTCTGCCTGGTGCCGTGGATCCCAGTGCAGGCTCTGATGCTTGGGAAGCAAGTCTTGTTTCCAAAGGAGTCATCCCCTGTGCCTCCCAAGAACCGGTGCTTCTGTCCTCAGGGTTAGCATGGACCCTGCTTCTAAATTCACCTGTGCTTGGGCTGAGATGACTCTGTGGGCAAGAGCACTGGCTTTGAAAGCTAAGAGCCTGACTCCAATCCTGAGGAACCCAGATAAAAAGCCAGACAAGGTCCCCTGAGCTCCCATTAACTCCAGCACTGTGGGGAAGGAACATGGGCTGACAGGCTTGCTCCTGCTTCAGGGAGAGACTGTCTCAGACGAACAAAAGGGAGAATCATAGAGCAGGACACATGCAGTCATCCTGTGGTAGCCGGAACACACACATACTCATATACCACATGCACTTATGCCTTGTATGTGTCTATGCACACAGTGAATACACAAAAGACGACAAACCACCCAGGCTCTTTCCCACCCCACCTCCTGCGGGGCAGTCAGGCCATCCGTTTACTTGGATGATCAGTTTCGCCCATGGTAGTCTGAGCTGCGTGTTGGGTTTCTCCCGCATGTAAGTTGTCTTTAAACATTTCCTGTCGTGGAGGGAAGTAATGCCTGAAACAGCGGCGTGATTCTCGAGGGAGAGCTGCGTTGAAAGGTGTATATGGAGAAGGGCCACTCTCCTTGCTGGAGCCTGGGTCTGAACTGTCCCTTCAAGACCCGTGTGTTGAGAGCTCGTTCCCCAGTCTGAGCTGTTAATGGGAGGCAGTGACCGCTTTAAGAGGTGAGGCTTCTACTCTCCGGTTCTTTCCATGGACCCATGAAGTCCTTGTGGTGCCCAACCTCATTTGTGTCTGCTCGCACTGCCAGTGTTAAAGACCAACCAGGGCCACAATCAAGCACTTTGTCAGTGAGCACAGCATTTTGTATAATTATTTATTTTTACTTTGAAGAAAAATTCAAATGCAATAAAAGACATACTATTTTTCCCCCCTGAAACAGGGTTTCTCTGTTCTTTGTAGCTTTGGATGAAGCCTGTCCTGGAACTCAAACTCGCAGAGATCCACCTGTCTCTGCCTCCCAAGTGCTGGGATTAAAGGTGTGCACCACCAATGCCCGACTAAGACATGGCTCTTTTAATAATAATTTTAAAAAATGTAATGCTGAGGATCAAGCCCAGGTCATGCATATGCTGGCGGGTACACCGCCACGGAGTGGCTGCTCTACCTCAGCTCCAAACATGTGCCTCTCCAGGGCACCATCAGCACGTCCTGCTGGAGCTCAACCCCTAACAAGGTCCATGACCTTCATGACTTCCCGAAGCTCCCTCCAGCTCAGTCCTTCAGAGAGGCGTTCTAATCCCCCCACTTCCATAGACAAATTTTGCCTTCCCAGGAATATCATATAAATGTGGTCTTGTGTGGAAAGCCCCCCTCACTCAGCATAATGTTTATGTAGTAAGTATGTGCACACGTGGATCCCATCAGCTCATTTTTCTTGCTGGTGAGCAGACTCCACTATATACAGATACATAAATGTGTATATATGTATTAATTACATTATATGGCTCCATCCTGTTAACCTGTCTTGAAAGGCAGCCATGAAGAACGAAGGTGTCTACTTGTGTGCAGTGGCCCTGGTGTTTTACCTCACGCTTTCGATTCCTCCGGCGACGGTGGCTTTCAGTCTCCTAAGACCATTCTGCTTCCCAGAATGGTTTGTTTACTTATATGTGATACTTTCAAAGCGACTCGGTGCCGAGTGGCAGATTGACAGGCCGCTGTTCCCTCGAGCGGCTCATCTAACCAATCTCCCCTTCATTGGTCACCCACTGAACGTT